CCCCCAGGGCGATCACGCACCCAAGACCTGTTAGTTTCAATTCTCCTTATATTCCGCCACTGTGTAGACGGATTATTTTTTCCCTCTACAAGATGTCTGGACAAGAGGCAAATTACTGATCTTCACTGGGCTTTTCCTAGAAATCTAGTGTTTGTGAGATTGACTCTAACTTCCACCATTACGGTAAGGCCTTTCCATTATTAAGGCTCTAGTTTTTGCCTGTTTTTATTGAATCGCCAGCTCAGTTTGAATTCACGTCGACTCCCTTTTTGGCGGGGTGAATTTACTCGTTTTTTCACGTTCTCATTTCCTGTCTTTTCCATGATTGCATCATGCTTTAATCATTAAAAAGACTAAGATCGTGCCGACAAAATTCGACACATAAGATCCGTTCAACTTGCCACTTAGAGCTGCCAGTTTGGGACCCAAAACATACGTGTTGTAATTTTTGTTATAGTCGCAAACAGGACTCGGGACGGAATTTATGATCTGTGGCATTCTCAGTCGTGGCAGCACTTTGGGGTGTGGTTGAAGCTGAGGGCAAGCGATTGCACAAGCTGGTATGCGTCACTCTAAAAGGGAATTCCCTAGCCGATGCTAACAATGTTTCTGTTTTCAATGAGTAAAAAGAATCTCTACTTTTTCCCTTGGTAGCGAGACGAGGCTTGCCTCTTATCGCGGACTGAAGGAGATTGAGACTTGCTACGGGATTGATGGCTGAGGCAAGACCTTCACAGCCATTCATCGTTGAGGTGACTGAGGTGTTGTTTGCTACCTTGGAAGCACTGACGACGAGACTTTCTTTTTGTGGAGTCAGTTTCTCTATGCGATAATTACCGAGGCGGGCATGCATCGTTCCATCGCTTTTGTCTGGGGAACGCAGTTGCCAGTCATCACGGATAGCGACATCAGTATACAGCGTATTCCTACTTGGGCACTGACATCGATGCCGAGTACCCTTAGGAGCTGAACCGGTCCAATCCACCGAGATTTCAGTGCTACTAATGCAGTCTTAGTTGCTTGGGAGAAACTCTAGCTACCAACCCCTGTCTGCTCCTCCCCATTGGATCGTGCCTCAAGCAGCTTGGCGCAGGAGAGTATCTGACCCCTGGATGCTCGCAGTAGAGTCCAGGGGGTATGGAAGTCCTCTCCGGTCTCCTCCTCCTCTGACTCCTCATACCCCCTCTGGTTTTCTATCGAGGGACGAGGTCAAGGCAGAGACAACCCAGCAGGAAGTAGCTATCCTTCTGGAGAAAGGGTGGTATGCCTAGTAGAGAACCCCATTTAAATGGTTCTATTCCAACATCTTCTTCGTTCTCAAGAGTTTGGGGGATGGCGTCCTGTCCTAGACCTCAGGCAGCTGAACGGGTTTGTGGAGCTCAATCGCTTCCAGATGGAAACACCTATTTCTTTGCTTCTGTCAGTGCCCTTGGGTAATTTGTTGGCATCGCTGAAGTTGAGCGATGCATATTTCCACATACCTATTCACCACTCTTGCTGCCAGTATCTCAGATTCCCTTTAGTTGGCAAGTTTATAAGTATACCGCCCTCCCTTTCAGTTTCTGCATGGCGCTGTACTCTTCACCAGGGTGTGTTTAGACAGGTGACCCAGCTGCTCCACTGGTCGTCAGTTTATCTGAAACCATACCTCGATGACTGGTTAGGACACAACCAAGACAGGGAGGTGTCAGCGGAGCATATGCGATTGACGCAAACACTCCTTCACGAGTTAGGCTTTTTAATAAATATTCTCAAGTTCAACACCCTACCGTCCCGCAACCTAGTTTTTTCTGGGTATGCAGTTTGAAACATAACATCGGCTTGTCCACCCCTCTCAGGCACGGTGCGACTCCTTTGTGGAGCTCAACAGCCAACTCCAGTCGACGGGATCGGCTTTTGTGCGCGAACTGATGTGTCTTATTGGCAGTATGACTTCAGTTTGTCGTCTAGTTCCGTCAACAGCTCTCCGGCCTTGTTCGATTCAGAGGTGCTTGTTGGGCCACTAGGCCCACATGCAGAACATGACGTTCAGGGTTCACTTGTTGGAGTCCTGGCAGCCCTCCCTTAGTGGAGGCACACTCGGAACTTGGAGAGGGGAGCACCCCTAGATCAGATGACTCCATCGCTGACTCTCATTATGAATGCATCGCTCCAAGGGTGGGGCGACCATCTGATGGACCTTCTAGTACAAATGACATGGCTGACCATGCATGCGAGGCGCCACATCTATTGGTTGGAGTTGCAGACCGTCCTAATGTCTCTGAAATATTTTCAGGAGGTCGCACACCACTACAGAGTGTACTTCGTAGAGACAACACCTCAGTAGCATCGTACAGCAAGGAGGGGGCTGTTTCCCCATGTTGACAAAACTAGCGGAGAAGGCATGGCGTGGCGTCTTGTCCTGGACCTCAGGCGACTGAACAGGTTTGTGGAGCTCAATCACTTCCGGATGGAAACACCTATTTCTGTGCTTCTGTCAGTGCACTCGGGTAATTGGTTGGCATGTTTCCCTACGTTGTCACAGCTAGCGGAGTAGATTTTTACTTTGGTGCCCGGAACCAGGTGGAGCTATGGCTCACCACCTTCCGAGGAGATGCAACAGTGGTGTGGACGCCCTCTTGAGATGTATTCTGTTTTATAACACCAAGTGGCAGATTCCCTGAAGAGTAACCCAGGACAAGACTCCTTGTTGACGAGTACTTTTAGATTTCTCTCAGTTTTTTGACCTTTCTGCCTTTTCCTGCCTAACAAGTAATAAAATAAATTTATTATTTCCACGGATTTTCTGGTAGGTGATGTAGTAAAATATTACGGTTGTACAACCTAATCATACCTACCAGAAAATCTGTGGAATCCTCCCTCCCCACAAGCCTCCGAGCGGCCGTTTGTGAGGGTTCAAACTGACAGGCCTTGGGTGCGTGATCGCCCTGGGGGTGACCCCTTAGGCAAGGCCTTTTTCTTAAAGAACGCTACCCTATGGTGTTGCTTTTGGACCCGAGTATATTTTCCAGTAGTTTCCGTTTGGGGCTGTAATCTGTAATTAAGCCTAACGAGTAATGAATGAAATTTATTATTTCCACGGATTTTCTGGTAGGTATGATTAGGTAAACAACCGGGTTTGTAAAACATTAATACATTAGTTATTTTCAATAAAAAACATTATATCCATGTGAGTCACCACTGTACTGAAACACCGTGTCAGAAGCAGCCAACAAGTGATCTTACACATTTTCATTAAAATAATTCTGATATAGAATAATGGATAATTCTCATATAGTTGTTTCCATCAATTTTAAATGTCATTAACGAAAATTGGGATACTCTAAAGCTGTTGTACCCACCCTCTACCCTTTGAAGAAAGTGCCCCCATCCCCACTACGAAATTATAATTCTGCTCTCCCTGTTAATTCTGACCGTGTCTAGTCTTCACGCACCACAATGGAGGCGCTGCGAACCTATAGACGATGTGGGCGATTGTCTTTCAGTAAAGAATAACCGAACATTTTTCATCTCACTAAACTGGGCTTTTTTTCAAAACATAGAATATTAGCTCGCTAAAGACGCATGGTATACATTCCACGGCGTCAAAAATAGACAAACAAAAATCATTGTGACAGAATGGTTCCACACAAATATTCTAGAAACGAAAATATATACCAAGTTCTGAATAATATGTTAACAATATTGACACAAAATCAACAGCATTTATTTACGCAGAATGGTCAAATATCCAATGTTTGTTGGCGCTGATCGCGATACTGAAAGTGACTCGAATCCTCAACACTTAAATGTGGATAACATATGCAGTGCATAAATACGTTTATATTCTTCCAAACAAAGTCAAAGAAAAAAAAACAAGTAAAATTCAGAATTCATTGAAAAAACTTGTGACTTAAGAGCTGTATTGCCATCCGTTTTTTTACTAACGGTGTTATGGCTTTCACATTACTTGTATTTCACCCAGATGAAACAAAAGAAAAATATTAGGGAATAATATATAGTTATCATAAAACTATCATTCTAGGTGTACATCTCCATGCGGGATGGGACGTTTATTATGCTCCGCATGGGTAGAAAAGCGATTCCAATATATGAACGAATAAATAAACGTGTACTAGAATACCTTCCTGTAGGAATTAAAAATTACATAATGGAGTCAATAGTGCTCTCCGAGACAAATCACGAAAGTCTGGGTTTGAAATCTAGTAAACCAATGTACAAACATCGGAGAATGGTGAATGATGAGATTGCCAATCGTATTTTCTGTGGAGCCGTGGAGTGTAAACCAGTCATTCAACAGTTGAATAAAAGAAGTGTGAAGTTTGTGGACGGCACGGTAGTGGATGACGTAGACGCCATTATATGTGCCACTGGTTACAATGTTACATGCCCATATTTGGACAATGACATTGTCACAGGTAAATGGAATTTCAATGGAACATCATAGAAATTAAATATTTTTTCGATATTGTTCATACGAGATGAAAGCACGTTTATAATTAACCAGATTCTGTATTCCCTGATCTGATTTCACTCGTATCTTAACATTTAAGGTTCACTTAAGGTTCGCGAATTGTATCTGTATGTATTTCCACCTCGGCTGAAGATGCACACCCTTGCTCTCATTGGATTTTGTGTGGACATAGGGGGAACCGGGCCAGTTTTGGAGATGCAGGCAAGATGGGTAACCCGGGTATTCAAAGGGTTTTGTCAGTTGTCCGAATGAAGAGTCAATGACAAAAGAAATAAGACAAAATGATAAAGTCTACAAAAATTTTAGAAGAATTTCAGTAGGCGTAAGTCAAAATGATACCTGGAAATTCATTAGTACTTTAGTTTTAGATTTTAATTGTGTTTGTTTGAACGAGTCGTATCCAGATAACGCATGTAATATAATTATGTAACGCATGGTGGACATTGCCCTAATTAGTGGTAATTGCTTGACTATAAGTCCATTAGGCCATTCGTGCTTCCATAGACCCTTCAGTCCAATGGTATATTTCCACTCTTCTTCCATCGTACACACTGGCTGACTTTACAAATGCCTAACTCAATCATCCACGATGTAAATGTGTCGACTATACCATTTTAGCTATACCTTCTCTACCTCACCACTGACAGGGCATGTTGGTCGACTATACCATTTCACTACCATATTTTCACAATATGACTTACTCAAAATTTTCATTGTTTTTTAGATTCGTTACAAAGACAGAATTGCAGATTTTATTGGAGCCAAGCCCAATTTCTGGAAGCTTCTCCTGACAGATCCTAAACTAGCATACGCTGTAATGTTTGGACCATGCTATCCAGCAACGTATCGCCTAACGGGTCCTGGTGTGTGGGAAAAAGCACGGGAAACCGTCATGAATGCACAGAAAAACACGCAACAAGAAAGTTTGCAGTTCTTCTTAATAATCCTAGTGATAGTTGTTGTCTCTTTGCCACTATTTGCACTAATTAAAATAACATAATAGTCAAGAAAACAGAGCCCAGTATGTTCCTGTCAAATCATAAAACTGATAGTATAAAAGATGTATTTGGTAAAATGAATTTATTGTAATATACTATCCATGTACTATGTACATATTCAAAATTGCATGTTCAATTAAAACATATCAGAATCAATTACTTTGATTCAAAGGGTTATCAAGCATATATTCTTATTTTTCTCTTTTATATTTTCATTTATGAGGATCCTATTCACAATTGTCATTAATGAAATTATTCGAATGAGTTATATGTGTCAGACATCAGCCTCTAGGTCCCGTCGCCAGGTGTTTGTTGGACGACCCCGTTTTCTTTTTCTTGTGGGTTCCATTTCAGTGCTGCCCTTGTGATGTTTTGGACTGGTTTTCGTGGGGTATGTCCCAGCCAGCGCCGGCGTCTCTGTAATATTTCTTATTCTATGGGCTGTTGACTCATACAAACGTGTAAAATACCTTGTGTAAAATTCGTCATCTTCAACCACAAAATTAACAGAAGTAATTTAAATCGTTTCTAGGCAATGTATATATGCTGGTTTATTATTATTCATAATAATATGCAACAGCAAAAACAATGCTGACTTGGGTTGTAATAGCGGGTGTCAATCAAATGTTTTCTGATAAAAATCCGTCCTATTTTGTTTGAAAAAGAAAGAAGAGATTGATAGGTTATAGGTATCTTTGATCGCATATATAATCCAATGTGTGGTGTATATTTATATGACAACACTGCTGAGTTGTAAGCACAACTCACTCTACTCTTACTGTAAAATATATGTAAATTTGTTGAAGCTTCATCACACATATCCATACGTATGATAAGATAAGTAAGTGATAGAAGTCGTCTCAATTAAAACAGCAATTGCTGGCATCATGCAATTATTGTTTTAATGAATGATTGTATGCGTGTATGGATAAAACTAGCTCTAAACGCGCTGGAATACCTAATAATAATAATATTTCGCGGACAATTGTCAATTTGTGTTTAAGTTATCTGACAGTAAAGATTAAAAGAATGTTTGTATCTGTGATGTTAACGATTGTCCCTTGTCTTAATTCCTTCTGTAACATTTTGATGTACCTGGCAATCACAACTCTTGAAATTGTGTCTTTATGACAACCATGAGACAGTAATCTCCAAAATTCATGATTAGCGCTTGTCTAAATTGGAATCGCACCTACAATATGTCATTACATCTCATCCATAGCCAAGTCCAGTGTTGACAGTAGAAACATAAAAAACTATCAATCAAGACAATCAATCCAACGAACGCCAGAAAAACCTTGGGGTGCCTCAACTTCTTCCTCTTTGCAGCGTTTTACGTAGTAGAGACCGAAAGCAGTAAGTCAAATATGGTTAGTCGTGGGATTACCAATCGTATCGTGTGTAGTTTGGATACTTATCTTACTTACTAAATTAAAAAGTGGCATCAGCTTTTTTATTTTTGTTGTCCAATATTTTAACTTGGTGTAGTTGGAAGGTTGACATGACACCTAAACTTAAAATTTGATCATCGGAAATGCAAACGCAAGAGATTCATGATGACATAAGTGCCAAATTGAAAGTTGATATTTCAGTGAATTTCTATTAAGAAAAAAAAATTCAAATATGTTATTTTCTGATGACACCATGCATGTAATACACTTACATGGAATAAAACACAATTGCTACCTTTTTAGACTAAAGTATTTCGAATATCCAGCTTATTTATGTCTAATTGACAGTTGCTCAGATCGACAGGTCATTGTTGACAAATAATTAATCTTTCTCACGATAGTCCTAACATAGAGCTCATTGTTAAAATCACCTGGTTGGTATTAGGATAATTGGGGTTTCCAAAATGTGCATTCATTCATTCAACCAAAGTGCATGCACAACACTGTCATGTCCGTGAAGGAACGATACACGAACTCAAAAGTATATAGCGGTGTTATCAGGTAAACACTTTCTGCTTCTCATGCGTCATAATCAAATGGTTTCGAAATCAGATAAATGACACTGATGCCATCTGAAATCATCTGTGTAAGTGTTATGATATTTAACCAAAAGTTAATATATTTGCAAAAAAACATTCTAGTAATGGTTTTGATGAAAGAAGACAGCGTTTCTTTAAAACAATGCATATGTATTACACGTCATAACTTAGTAAGAAATCTGGAACACGCATATATTCAGGTAGTTGAGATAGAGTGGGATATTGCTTTATTGGTGTGAAAATTGCTGATGGCAAAATTAATAAAATCATTTTTGTTTTGTTATACAGTCAGGTATTATTGTAATTTTTTTAAAAGAACGACAATCCATAACATTCTCAGTTATTTTGTTCATGCAAATTGTTTGTCAATTATTTTTAGCATTCTTGTATGACGGGTGCTATACGTAGAGCAGAATGTTACCGTTCTGCTTGAAACACGTTGATATCATTTCATAAATACCATGAGGATGGTGACACACTGTTTACAATAATTAGGATTTAAATCATTGTTTTACACCCTTACAATATACCCACATGTTCATTACATTGTTACCAATCAGCTCTGATTTATATATGATATAGTAACATTTGCGCCTTCGAATTCTCTGGAAGGGTACTGTAAAATAACAATGATTGACAACGCCACATAGCGCTTTCAAGTACAATGTAAAGTTTAAAAAAATCAATGGTAACCAAAGATATACAAGATCATTAGTTATTTTCAGACCATTATTCACAAGCGAGGTGATATTTTTTGAAGTTCTTTGAAAGCTAATTTTGCAATATGGACAATTAGAAGTTGCTATATTTACCAAGCTCATTCATAATAATATTTATGTCAGTTATAGCAATGTAGCCAATCTGCATACACCAACACTGATCACATGTGCAATGGAACAAGCTGGAATATGCGCATAATTACAGATAGCTAATATGCTAATTCAGAACAATAAAGTGAGTAATACTGTAACAGTAAGTCAATTATAAAATAGAAGTGTATGTCTTAAACTCTTGAACTTCATAGAATGTCAACACTTCAATAAAACAAAAAATAGTAATATTATTTCAAATAAATGTCGCACTGACTGCATGAGCGTCACCAATCATGGAGCCTATATATATAATATGGAAAAGAAAATTTGCGTGGCTTTATTTAGCTGCTGGTAGATTACTTCTAAAATGTCGTCACCAACAAAACGAGTTGCTGTAATTGGAGCTGGTGTCAGCGGATTGGTATCCATCAAATGTTGCAATGATGAAGGACTCGGTCCAGTTTGTTTTGAACAAAGTGAAGAAATCGGTACGTTATTGTAATTTTTATCCAATAACCCAGGGTTACGTATTACGTCCCTACTGTAGTTTTATGAGTAAATGTCTCACATCTACCAAACACTACTGAATTGAAAACGCACTTCTACCGATACTCACACCAAGTATCAACATCTGAACTGCCTAAATGTGTATTTTTACCAACATATATGTGTACGTACGCCGTAGACAGTCTGCAGGCAATTGGTTGAAATACAGTAGATAATCTGTTGTCCTAATCTTACAGCATTCATCCATCCATCCTGTAATTGTATCAACAAATCTACCGAAAAATTAGAGTTATTAGAGTTATTTTTTTATTTTTTGAATAATAATAAATACATGGCGTGTATTCCAATACTATAGTAGCCTGGTAACAAGCAAAAGAAAAATATTCCAGAGAATAAACCTAACTCACGGAACGTACCATTGTTGCCAGCCGAACGCCATATAACAAAAAAGGGATAGGAAAGTTGGAAGTGGGTAATTTCTATTGATGAAATCTGGGTTTATTAATAAAGCTAATATATCCAAATTGATGATATAGGAGATGATATAGAAATGCCAGTCAACAAAGATGAACAATGTGCAGAATATATTTTATTTTGAGAACGTGTCGCACATAAATTGTAACTGCTATAAATAATTGTTAATGATATATTTTGGGCCAACCAATCACTCAACGAACAATGGACACGCACACAATTGTGCAATTTTTCAAATTATTCACAAATTATCGACTCCTGAATACCATCATGTCACAATAATATTTTTATGAACTATTAGCATTCATCCTTTTGCAACCAAGTATATATTGTTATTTTTGTTTGCAGGAACACATATTATTTTCCAGTTGCAAAAGCCAAAAATTCTGTGCAGCTCAAATAATAATTACCATATTGTTCAGCCAATCACAGGATAAATTAAAATTGTAACACAACCATAATGTGCACATGTAGATGATGGAATCAATTTAATTGAATCCTGTTTCTCAAAAATCATATTTGTTAGATCTTTATGGGAGTTTAACAATCAGACGCTAACGATCTAAGTGCAAACATAAGCCCCTTATATCATTGCAGTTCAGTGTAATAAAATCAATGTAATGATTTTTGATATCCTCAAATTGTTGGTGATTTCACTAATTTTATTTCTTCCATTCTAAACTTGACTGCGCATTGGAAGTCAGGTTGATGGTCACGAATTGAAATCACTTCATTATGTTATCATCCCCCAAATTTGCCCAACACAAAACAATTCGTTTTGTATCGTCAGGTGATATCCGCATATATATATATATATATATATCGATTATATACCAAACCAAGATTTTACATTGCACTAAGCAACAATATTTTTTTCATTTCAGCTGGTATTTGGAACTATCATGACAACCCACGTGAGGGTGATGGCGCTGCACTATACGAAAACTTGGTGACAAATACCAGTAAAAACATGATGTGTTTTAGTGACTTCCCCTTTTCCAGAGAAGCGCCACCCTACCTCAGACATCATCTGGTACTCAGATACTATCAACAATATGCTGAACACTTCGGACTTTATAAATTCATCAAGTTTAACACCAAAGTATTAAAGATCAAGCCAGTGGCAAACTTTTCCCAGACTGGTCAATGGGAGGTATATGTAAAGACTAATGGGCAGTCAGAACGAAAGGAAGTATATGATGCTGTGATGTGTTGTACTGGATTAAACAGCTCCCCCTATATGCCAGAAATAGAAGGAATGGATTTATTTGAAGGATCCGTGTTGCACAGCAATAGATTCAGAAGGGATTCAGATTTTCGAGAAAAAACTGTTGTAGTTGTTGGTAAGTACGTTGTTGTTATATTGTGGATATGCATCAGGTGACTGCTTAAGTTCGTTCGTAGGCAATATTCTTTTCCTCAACATGTGAGAAACACACTTCTCTTTTTCAAACCATGACATATACTATGAACTATATTAATTATGTTTAACAGATCTTAAAAGGTGCCACGTGTCATATTGTCATGTGTCTTTAGACAACAAATTTAAACAATTATTTAAAAATAGTACACGGGAATAGGTGATTTTCCGTACAATTGCGAGATCTCGCGAGATGCATGAAAGACGCGCGTCGAACGTCTGCCGCAAAAATCGAACGATTTGATTTTGAACTCGAATTTCCTTATTTCGTAGCTCACACCAACCGGCCGATCTTCGACAGAGGAATATTGCTTCCGAATACCCTTACTTAATCAAAATTGCCTATCATCAAATGTGGACAGCACATTATTAAGCATGGAAATGTCCCCGAAATACTTTCACGTTTGTCAAATCCCACGCGATGTTTGACGCCACTACGACGCTATGACCTATGTTTGTCCTGTTTTTACGTTCCAGTTCATGCATAACGCGTGATTCTCGCAGCGTACGGAAAATGGTCTATTACATATATGCATAGATAAATCGCATAACCAGCTATTATTTTATCTAAATATCTTCAACAATTTGCATTTCTATAATGGTGTAAGCAGCTGGCATGTAAATACAAATGTGACTTGCGCACTGAAGGCACGGGTAAGAATCCTTGACTAGGCGAATTGGAATTGTTCACTTGAAATAGTTATTCTGAAGTTTTTTATTTCTTATTTCAAAGCCCAATGTAAAACTTGGAACAGTAACTGATAAACATAACATGGTCTTACACTCACTACAAAATCAAACTCGTGCATCTGCAATACTAAACATGCACATCAGTGTCATTGATTTTACTTGTTATACCGACCATATTCAAATACACTGATTAGCATTAGTTCATCACGAACTCACCTCCCCCAATGAATGTGCACTCCTTACCATGGGTCGCAACATTTCGCTAAATATTAATTGCAATTAATTAAACTAGTAACTAGCACATATCAGCTATATTTTGGTTCCCTTGGGTGTCTTTTTATTAAAACTCAGTTTTAGTGTAAATCGGGTTTTAATTACATTACTAAATTTACAGGCGATGCATATTCAGCCGGAGATGTTGCCGTAGAGACCAGTAGATGTGCTAAGCAGGTAGAGTAGTAATTCAGATTAAACATAAATGGAATGGAATTGAGAATCCACTTATATCGAACAAAAACGTTAGAGTTACGTAATGTATCTTCACATAGATTAGAATAAATAAAAACACGGAATGTTGACATTTTATTTCAGGTGTATATTTCCATGCGGGATGGAACGTTTGTTATCCGACGCATGGGTAGCAAGGCTATTCCAATTCACGAACGTACACACAAACGTGTAATGAAATTACTTCCTGTGGCAGTGAGAAATTATGCATTGGAGACATTAGTGCTTTCCGAGCTGAATCACACAAGAATGGGATTGAAATCTAGTAAACCAATGTACAAACATCGAGTAATGATCAATGATGAGATTGCCAATCGTATATTCTGTGGTGCCGTGGAGTGTAAACCTGTCATACAACAATTGAATAAAAGAAGTGTGAAGTTTGTGGACGGCACGGTAGTGGATGACGTAGACGCCGTTATATGTGCAACTGGTTACAATGCAACATTTCCATACTTGGATAACGATGTTCTTGCAGGTTAATAAAACGTCAATTACTCAAACACCACAGTTCTCAACTGTTATTTCGACATTGTTCAGATGAATTTCAAATGACAGTATTTACTCGAAAGACCATTTTCTGATCACTCCGGCATCGCCCGTCATGCGTGAAATATTAGTGAAGTCAAAACAACGCACGAGAGTATCTCCATATAATATAACTCGTTCAAAGCTCGACATTGAGCTACAAAACAGATGTTAAATCAAAATCTTAAATTGTTTGCGGCAGATGTTCGATTCGTACCTTTCGCACAATACGCGAGATGTCGCAATGACCAGAAAATCGCCCATTTACCAAACCCTTTATCTTCTGTTTTCACTTGCACGATTATTTATCTTATACAACTTTTTTGTCATAAAACAGAAACTTCGAAGCCTCACGAAATGTACATGTATGTGTTTCCCCCTCGGATGAAGATGCACACACTCGCTTTCATAGGTTTTGCTGGGGTTGCAGATGAAGCAGCGCCAGTCAATGAATTGCAGGCAAGATGGGTAACCCGGGTATTCAAAGGGGTGTGTCGGTTGCCGGATGAAGGGTCAATGATAAAAGATATAACAACACGAAATGGTGAATTCTACAAGACATACAGGAAAATCACTGTTGACGTAAGACAAATTAATTAACACTCGGGGAAACATTAATTTTTCATTAAAGATTTTTGTTTTAAATATTCGTTCAATTATTTCCAAATCCTCTATCGGTTGACAGTAAATATATGATTGACAATGATTTGATACTACGATGTACATGTACCTCTCGTATAGCGTGTATTTGCTGTCTCTGTACATATTCAGTTCAGTTCAGTAACTTACAAGCTGTCGAGCACGGGAAGATAAATATTTAGGACCGACATCTAACCAAATAAATGATAAGTTCTGGTCTGGGTTATAGTTCGAAAGTTGCGAGCGTGACTGAATGTTAGAACACTCACGAATTTTGTTGATGTTGTGATGAAACGCACAGAAATACAACCTTGCACTGTTAACGTTTGAATAAATGGTAGAAATAAGATGAATAAACGAAACACAAGTAGTTTGAAACAATTGCATTTATTTCAATGAACCCTATATAGTATATGATAACACTCTTATGGACATTAGACTGCCGTGAGGGACGGTGATTGGACGTACGGCTAAGGAACCCTCACAAGCTCGAACCGCTAAAGCTGTCCCTAGCACATAAAGCCTATTCATATTTCATCTATGGTGGATGGTAGACTTCACAATCTTCATGCATCCTATGTATAGTGCTTATCTGTTGACTTTACGAATCCATCATATCAGTGGGTGCTTCATTCATAGAGCACTCCAGTTATATACTCTTCACAACACCATAATGTCTTTATTATGTTTTTAGATTCCTGGCGTAGAATACAAAGATAGACTTGCAGATTTTATTGGAGCTAAGCCAAGTTTCTGGAAACTTCTTCTGACAGACCCTAATCTAGCCTATGCAGTGATGTTCGGGTCATGTTATCCTGCCACATATCGACTTACAGGTCCCGGTATGTGGGATAAAGCACGGGAAAACATCATAAACGCCCGGGAAAACCACCCTACAAGTACGACACTGCAAGAAATGCACCAAGGAGAGTTCAAGTTACAGTTCAAGTTCATGATGGTGGTGATGGTGATAGCTGTTGCCTCTGTTTTTCTGCTTCCATTAATATTATAACATAGAATGATTTGTATAATGTGGATACAATGAATAAAATGCTTTAACAGAGAGAAAATGGAAGTAATAGGCTAAAAGCAGTGCATAAAATAAAAAGCAAAATTCGAGTAAGGTCAACAAATGTTTTAAACTTTTAAAATGTCACGCTTCCTGAATTTTCATATTTTCAAATATTGGTATAAGTCAATATAGCTTAAGGTGATGCGTTTTATGTTCTCATTATGTCCAACTACGTTTCAAATAATAAGTCTAATTTTATCTGCATATGACAATTTTTGCTTAGAACTTTTTAATCCCCATTAAACGTGTGCTTTTAGCCATTCTATGCACATTAGCGCAAAAGCTAAATATCGAATAAACAGCCAATATCAACAGAGTAGCCAAAATGTTAAAATGGATTAAGTACTGGCAATTCAAATTCTGCATATGTAGGTCTCTAACGCATGCTTTTTGGTTCGTGTAGTTTAGTTTAGCTTAGCTTTGTGGACTCAGCAGCCTTAAGAACTTAATATTATACGCGTTTTCACGTTTTCCTCGTAAAGGCGTGTTGGCTTAAGTTTTTTTCTGGACACCAACCAAAGGTGTTCAGGACTAAACATTAAATAAAGTTTTTTGGCTTAAAGTAGGATTTAGATCATGCTATAATCCAAGTCTCCCTTGAAAGAGGTTTCCAGAGTTTGTTTATGCTCCATTATTTTTACCATTTAAAGTTTCTGTAGTATTTTCTGGATATGTAATTACTATTTCGAATATTGTTTGAATTAAATCATTTCTGTCTTCAGATTTTGCCTTTTTTTCAAACATGTTAATATTTATTTTATTTAGTGCATGTTTAATGACTGATACCCAGTTTTATGTTCCTGTAATATCTAGTTAAATGTCTGGTTGATGTGCCAGTGTGTTTCCAGGATTGGAAAGTCTCCCTGAGTGGGACAAACAGCCTGATCATCCTGTATGGTGGTTCCATTGATAGATCTGTTCGCCTCAGCAAGCAAATTCAAGCTCAATCAAATCCAAATACAAAGAATGCAATGTGAAAGTTGTGGGCAACATGGATTTCCAACATTTGCTCCGATTCATACAGTACTGGCCACACCCAATGTAATGATAACAGCAATGATTCTAAATTGGCCAGTTAAACCAATGTTTCCACTGTGAAAAGCTAAATAACCATTAACACTGATCATGAGTTCAGTAGCATCTCAATACACATTTGGTGACTCGGGCAACTGGTAGAACATCGCTAAAACATCGCTACACCCCCCCCCCCATAACAACAAAAGCCATTTCATGATGGGTGTAGAAAGATCCATAGAAAGCAACTGTCACTGTGGTAGATGAATATTTCAATTTCTTATTTCACATAAAGAATGTTGTGGTATAGGTAGGCCGACCCATCCTACTGGGGTTTTGGAATCAATATTGTTGTTGG